GCCGTCAGCTAACTGTTTTCCTAAAGAATTAGAAAAATAGCCATATGATATCTTTTTTGGGCTGCCGACTGAAAATATAGTAGTAGAATTTAATTAAAACCATATAAACTTTCGCATTCAGCCGACCAACAAAATTTCCGAGTCGGACCAGAGCCTCTGGACCGGTGGCCTAAACTCCTGGACCCTACTTAATCTTACTTGGATATTTAGTATTTACAATCACAATTTGAACCACATTTAATGTTTTGGGAAAAAATATATACATAGCATGTTTTTTTGCTTAACGCTGCGATAGCGACAGCGACAAGCAAAACTGTGATATCCATAGCTAGAAACAATGTTTTTTTGCTTAACGCTGCGATAGCGGCAACGACAAGCAAAACTGTGATATCCATAGCTAGAAACAAAGTAAAACGATGGTGGTAGAGATTAAAAGATGCCGCTGAGTACAATAGATTAAGACGTGTTAGTGATAAGAGATGTCGTTGAGTTTTCTAGCGTCGGCGCCAGAAGATTTAATGTACCGCAGCGTCACAAAAATCAACATGTGCCATAGCTCTCCACATACTTAAACCCCAAGCAACTAATATTTTAATGATTTTTTTTTTTATCGATGCTGCAGCCGCAGCGTTAAACAAAAGAACATGGCTACAGTTTCAGACGATGTGGGTATAAAGAATTTATAGATTATGTATATGGCGAAATTAATATCTAATGCCTAATGGGCAATTCGACAATCACCGATGGAGTTGTGAGACAACCGCAAGATACAAATGCTAAATGTCCAAAATTGTTAGGAGGTAAATGAAACAAATGGAAAAGGATAAAATGAACCATGTGATATTAAAAGGGTTGTTCATTGATTGAACTTACATGATCAAATGTCGGCACAAATGCTAATTAAATCCATAAAAATAAAATCGTCGACTATAATAATTTCAGTTTTTTTTTTTACAAATGAACGATCTACCACAGGGAACTATAAAAACAAGTTATTGCATTCTCGATTTTTGTTCTCTTTCAAGTCATACATGTAATGTAAGTTGACTTTGATCGGTATTTTATAATGTATAAGTGTCAATCCATATAATTGGTGCGTTTATGGTATATAACTATATATGGATACTTGAAACTCTTCTTTCAGAATGAACCAATAGGAAATGTTAAAAGGATTTACTTCATACGTACGATCATATTATTACAACGTACGAGCGTGATATTAATATATATCGTTGCCTAGTGGAAAAAGAATATAAGTTTACGTAGTGGCTCTTGATATGATGCTATGGCCAAATTATTATGAAATGTTGAGAGCGAGAGCCATAGAGACTAGAGAGAGATTGGCAGAAGCAGCGACACGGCAGAGGCCAATCTCATATCTCTTATCTTCTTTCGGCCTGAATTTTGTTGTTCTCACACATTTTATAATATTTTCGTATTTTTGGTACAAATTATGATATATCATATCAGCGACTTCTATGGACATTTTTCTTCCCAGAAAAAAGTTTACGAAGTAGATAGCCGAATATCTTAGACCAATTTGAGTCTTTGTCTGGTTCCCCCACGTCGTTTTGTGTGCCCGCATATCAAATACATATATTGAACGACTTAATATCAAAACGAACTTGTACAACACAAGTGAAAGAATCAAGATCTTTCTGTTTTTGTTCATTTGATGTTTTTCTCTTTTTACAAGTTTTTTTTGTTGTTGCAAATCTTGGAAATTTTCGAGTCTACCCGCAATTAGGGTAATTAAGAGAAAAGTATATATGAAGATAATTCGAATGCCAAGTAAAGTAGAATTTGGTAGTAGAGAATGAGTTTTAGTTAGGAGCGTCAAGTCTATATTTAGGTTTAAGGCATAGAGGTTTTTGTGTATTTTGAACACTAGGGAGAAGATATGCATTGCCTTGTGTTTAAATACCAAAAAGGAAGAAGTTGTCACCGTGTTGTATACGTAAGGTGATTAGTTCGCCACTTCTTTTAGCTAAGAAGAAGAATATTCCTAAAGATGAGTCCAAAAATTTAACCAGCAGCACTAATATAGTTTTTAGTAGTTGATGGTTTACTGTTTATAAAAGTACAAATAGCCGCTAGTATTTGAAAATTGTGATTTATGTTTTAAACGCAGTATTATTAACTTATGCGGTTTATTAAAAAGAAAAGGCCTAACAACAAATTTTAATTATGGGCCCATTTGCAAGTGATATACAATGCGGCCCAAATAAAAATACCGCGAAGCTGGCGGTCCAAAAAACACCGTCAAAAACAAAGGCGGGAGGCGAAAATGTCGCGCCGGAACATTTTCCCGCTTCTATCAAATTTATTTATTTTTACTTCCTCTTTCTAATTCTACATCTATCTCTCTCTCAATCGATTCACCAGTACGATCAGATCCGTATCCTTCCTCCAATTCCGCTTCGGATTCTCCTTTCCGTGACCTGACAATAATGCCTACCATCGCCGTGCCGAGTTTGTCTTCTTACAAACACATCGTCACCGCCGGAACGGAGAAATCCGAGGGCATCGAATCCGCCAAGTATGAGACTCCTCGGAAGCGAAAACTGAGATCGGATTCGGCGGCGGAGAATCTCCTTTCTGGATATTTCATCTCTACCCCGAAGAAATTGAAATCTCATCGACGAATTGCTGTTTCCAATCCCAAAATGCCAGAGAAGGTAAATTGTTTGTTTGGCAGCGGTTCATTTCATGATTATCAGTCCATTCATAACAGTCTTATCTGTTTGCAGGAAGTTAAGGAAGAATCTAATGAAATTTTGTCAGTGAAAAACTTATCAGATTGTTCAGATTCTAAATCTAATTGGAATCCTAGAGGTAAGCATGTTACATTAGATTCTTGATTAGTCTAC